GTTGTGATAAAGTTTTGTAGAAAACATTCACACACATTGTTTTATACCTTTGTAAGAAAGTGTTGCCTTGACAAACCGGGTTGTGGTTTGAATCAAGAAGGCTTTAGCAGTTGTTAAAGCAGTCTGTAATATTCAGTTGAATATAGTGAATTAAGACCTCGTTGGAGAGAGGCGAAATCACCTTGACGGGTGGACTGGAGTAGTTTGAGATCAAACGAACCAGGATAAAAATATCTTGTCATTTGCTTTAGATTTCAGTTTTACAATTCAACCCCCCCTTCTTGTGTTTTTCACCCCTTCACATTTTGCCCTAGTTTTGCCCTAGGAGCCAAGTGAGATGGCGCCTCCTCTCACTTTTAAGGAGCATGCGCCATCTCACTTGGCTAAAAGCCAAGGGAGGCGCCAAGTGAGATGGCGCCTAGGGCAAAATGCTAGGTGCATGCGCCATTTCAGATGGCTCCTCCTTTGGGGAGTCATCTGAAACATGGTTATTTGCGTGATTTTTTCCGAAACCCGGTTATTTGCGAAATATTATTTTAATACATGGTTATTAATAAAAAAAATTCCCTTTTTTTAGCTACCGTCGTCACGTGCAGCTACGCCATTTCTTATCGGTGTTAGATTTTCTACATTATTATGTATTTTAAGTAGTTGGTGTGATCACGATATTATGCCCGAATTAGCCTATGAAATATATTTGATCGTTCATTTTATTCTTAAGGTTTGTTATATCTATATTTTTCTTGTTGATCTATGAGGTGCTTAAAGAGTCTTATAAACTAAGAGTAACTCGTAGTTTATACCTTGAAGGGCGTGATCATTTATAATATAATATGTTGATTTAGATGATACTAAGAGATGTTATTAGATTTATATTTAGGGAATTATCTATCATGAACTATAGTGTAGAGATATATATAAACATGATATTCACATATACTGTTTAAGCATAATGCTTTTGTATTAAAATATTAATTGTCAATGCAAATGATATCACAATGCTATTTCAGACAAGGATATCCTTGTTGAGCAATAACTGATAATTGAATTAATTTATGACATGATATCTTAATTTAATTTAAAGTTTTATGTTGATTCCTTATCTAATAAATATTATTTTTAAATCCTAGACTTTATTTTTTTTTTAATATTAACCATTTAATTATTTTAATATATACGATCAAGATTTAAAGGTGTAGAATTAGTTTAAATGATCAAATAGTTAACAAAGTCAATTATTGACATTCAACAATATCGACTCATCTAATATATATAAAGTTAAAAGTTAATAGAATAAACCAAATTTGATTAGCGAAGATGTTTTTAAGTGAGATAGAAGTAACATTTATTAAATTAAGTTAAAGGAACTCGACAATTAAACATTGATAATTTGTATTGAAGATTAAAATGATAATTTGTATTGAAGATTAAAATGAGAATAATTGATCTGATATGAATGAAATTATAATAATTGTAACTTTTAACCCAACTCTCTCTATCAATGTTTGTCATATATTTTCCTTTATAGATTTAATTTAAAAAATTGGTTTTTACCATCAATATCTGGTACAATAGACTCGGATCGATGTCGTTTTTATCAAATTCAACCCCAATTACCACTGAACTAATGAACAATTAATATAGATTTAATAATTTTATTTGACGAACACTCTAATACTCTTGAATTTATTTGGATACAAGTATCCTTGTCCAATCAAATATTATTATTCAATAATACATCACTTTATATAATTATTTTATTTTGAAATAAAGTCAAATTTTAAATTAATTTATAGTGAAAATACCTATATACAATTGCTTATCATAAATATTTAAAAAATTTACCATTTTATTTATGTGATTTTTTATTGGCACAACTTCTATAATATGTTCAATTTAAATCTCACTTTTATTGACACAACTTCTATAATATGTTCAATTTAAATCTCGCAAAAGAAAACCAGTACGATTCATAACTCCTCTATTACCAGTTGTCCAATGATTGACAAATTTAATAGTCAAGACTTTCTATAAAAAAAATTAAATATGTTTGGATTTATATATTTTAATTTTAGTTTTTAATTCTTATAAAAAAATTGAGTTATTACTTTTACATTTAATTTTAATTTTTATAAAAGAATTAAAACTGTATATAAAATAATTTTAAAGAATTAAAACTCATATTTTTTTATAAAGATTAAAAGTCATTTTTAATAATTTTATAAGAATTAAAAATATGTATCCTAATAAATTAGACTATTTATTAAGTTATTATTCGCGCAAGGACAAATTAGACCGTACTCGACATTAAACTTATTTTCTTGAACTCAGTTCAATATATATATATATATATATATATATATATATATATATATATATATATATATATATATATATATATATATATATATATATATATATATATATAAAAGTTAAAAATATTATTTTTCAAACCCAATATTATTATTAGATTCTTCTAGACTTTAATAAGGCAATCAATTCACTTTGAGGAGTCGATTGTGTTAGATTGAGTATAATTATTACTTAAATATTTCACGAAAGATTATAAAAGAGTTATGAATATTAATTCTTTATTAAAATAGAAATGTTTAATTTTTTTTAACTAACACTTTGGACACTTTAGACTATATTTTAATAAGTTTTTTTTATTATTATTTAATCAAATATATGTGAAAAAATATTTTATAATGTTTATATAAATATCATTTGAATGTTTGATTATAAAATGAAACATATCTACCATTTATCGTTTGAGAAATGAACAAAATATAGACTTATGATTAAACTAATATTACTTTATAGTAATTGATTGATTTAATTATAACTTTAATCATTCTATTTTAATTATTTGTAAGATATATTCACATTGTTTTTTGCAAAGGTATATATCCACGTAATTTAAATTTAGTTTTAATCTTTTTACATTTTATACATAAAATTGACCATATGCTTATTTTTAAATTATATGTCATTTATAAAGCGTAACATTATAATATAAAAAAGTTTTGTTGACCTTTATAATAAAACATATAAATTAAAAAAATATCCTAAATTAAAAAGAGGAGAACATATAACTGTTTAAGTTTTAAATAAATAATAAATTTTAAATTAAATAAAATAAGACACAAAAGTTAAAACTAAACCTAATTAAAACCACTTTGGTGTCTATTTAGTTTAAAGATTTTTTTTTAAAATTTCTAATTACCTTCGTAAACTTTCTAATAATGTAGTTTTGTAAAATTTATTAACCATCCATAGTGCGATGTAACTTATAAAACTTGCATCTCATACCTATCTATATCTAATAAATATTATTATCCAAAAGATTTGATTTATTCAGAATATAACTCAAAAGCTAATTAAGATTAGATAAATCAATTATCTTTTCATTCAGTTTTTCATGGAGTATAAATAGGGGTTTTGTTAGTTTTTTAGGAAGATATATCTGTTAGTTTAAATTCAAATCTATATGAGAAAAAAAAAAATATCAGATTCAATATTTTTGGGAATAATAATCATAGTTAATTTCATATAGCGTATCTTTATTTTGGTTATAAAATTATATTCTATCTTTTTCCTCAAACAAAAAAGTAACAAATTGGTTTCACCTTCTTTTTCTCAAATTCTAATAACCGCTGCAAATTTGATATATAAAAGTTAAAAATATTATTTTTCAAACCCAATATTATTATTAGATTCTTCTAGACTTTAATAAGGCAATCAATTCACTTTGAGGAGTCGATTGTGTTAGATTGAGTATAATTATTACTTAAATATTTCATGAAAGATTATAAAAGAGTTATGAATATTAATTCTTTATTAAAATAGAAATGTTTAATTTTTTTTAACTAACACTTTGGACACTTTAGACTATATTTTAATAAGTTTTTTTAATTATTATTTAATCAAATATATGTGAAAAAATATTTTATAATGTTTATATAAATATCATTTGAATGTTTGATTATAGAATAAAACATATCTACTATTTATCGTTTGAGAAATGAACAAAATATAGAGTTATGATTAAACTAATATTACTTTATAGTAATTGATTGATTTAATTATAACTTTAATCATTCTATTTTAATTATTTGTAAGATATATTCACATTGTTTTTTGCAAAGGTATATATCCACGTAATTTAAATTTAGTTTTAATCTTTTTACATTTTATACTTAAAATTGACAATATGCTTATTTTTAAATTATATGTCATTTATAAAGCGTAACATATTATAATATAAAAAAGTTTTGTTGACCTTTATAATAAAACATATAAATTAAAAAAATATCCTAAATTAAAAAGAGGAGAACATATAACTGTTTAAGTTTTAAATAAATAATAAATTTTAAATTAAATAAAATAAGACACAAAAGTTAAAACTAAACCTAATTAAAACCACTTTGGTGTCTATTTAGTTTAAAGATTTTTTTTTTAAATTTCTAATTACCTTCATAAAGTTTCTAATAATGTAGTTTTGTAAAATTTATTAACCATCCATAGTGCGATGTAACTTATAAAACTTGCATCTCATACCTATCTATATCTAATAAATATTATTATCCAAAAGATTTGATTTATTTAGAATATAACTCAAAAGCTAATTAAGATTAGATAAATCAATTATCTTTTCATTCAGTTTTTCATGGAGTATAAATAGGGATTTTGTTAGTTTTTTTAGGAAGATATATCTGTTAGTTTAAATTCAAATCTATATGAGAAAAAAAAATATCAGATTCAATATTTTTGGGAATAATAATCATAGTTAATTTCATATAGCGTATCTTTATTTTGGTTATAAAATTATATTCTATCTTTTTCCTCAAACAAAACAGTAACAAATTGGTTTCACCTTCTTTTTCTCAAATTCTAATAACCGCTGCAAATTTGATATATATATATAACAAAAGAAACAGTGGTAGTGCAAGTGATTAATTAAGTGCATCAAATCTTTAAAAATTATTACTGCTCCTTTGATGGAAGAGATTAATCCAATAAGTACAGGATTTTTTACTAGTGGTAGTAATATATGGAACAATGATTATGGATCACTACCTTATGAAGGTTATAGCGTGATGGAGATGGCTTCTATGAGAGTACTCACTCCGCCATGGCGAGGATGCGTGGTTTCAATGGCGATGGATTATCTCGACTGTCAATATTTACAAGCAGTGATCGAAGAGGGTGATCCAACATATGTTGCTATGATCCTCTCTGAGATAAAGGATTATTTACACCAGCTCATGAAACATCAGTTTGGCAACTATTTGATTCAAAAGATTTTTGAAGCAAAGAAAGGCATCACTAATATCCAAATAGATTCTATTGTTTACTTGATTATCTATGATACTCACAAGTTAAGAGACGTCTGCAAGAACAATCACGGGTACGTAATTATTAAAAATTTATTAATGTAGCACTGATACCGACCTCTAAAAAAAACGTGTCTATTGATAATTTCGTGTAATTTTTTGTGTGTGCAGAACTCGAGTTATGCAAATAATGTTAGAGAATATAAAATGTCCAGTCACAAAATATGCAGTATTGTATATGATGAAGCCTATCATTGATGAATTGATGAAAAATGTTAATGGTGGTTATGTGATTATGCAATGTGTGAAGGTTTTTCCACCCACACTCAAAAAGGTTCTTTTGTAAATAGAGAATGAAAATTCATATTAGACATTACCTTTTATCATCATATATTAATGTCTTTCAAATTATATAAATTTTACAGGTGATCTTGGATGAATTAGCAAAATATTGTGTTGAAATTGCAACACACAAGATTGGATGTTCAGTTCTTCAAACTTGTCTTAAAGATAGTGAGATACTAGCCATGGGCTTGATAACATCAATAATCTCAAATGCTATGTTGCTAGCAGAAGATTGTTACGGGTTTGAATCCACACTCTTGAATTTGTATTTTTCTTTTTGAGTATGACATATGGTATATATTATTTAGTAGAGTTTGAATGTTTATTTTAAATTTAGTATTTTGATAAATGTTATATTTTTTTTTTGTATGTTTGAAGAAACTATGTGGTGCAATTTGTAATTAAAATGAAGTTTCCCTTAGTAAATAAACGGATGATAGCAGAACTTTGTGGAAAATTTGTTAGACTCTCTATGAACAAGCATGCTAGCAATGTGGTGGAAGATTTAATGAAATGTTCTAATCAAGATGATGTTAATGCTATAGTAGAAGAGCTAATAAAAAGCACTGGTTTCTTGAATGTTATTCAAGATCCTTATGGGAATTATGTTGCACAAAGAGCACTAAAATGCACTAAGGTAATCTATTTTTATTTAAAGGATTCCACTTTTATTGTATTCTAACATTTCAAGTTTTTATTAACGTTTTGATTCGCATATTATTGGTGTTAAAAAATTATTCATATTTTCTTTAATCATTATTTCTTTGTTTTGTTTATTGCAGGGCTATCTACGTAGAAAACTTTCTTTTACCATTCGATCCTACCGCATCGAGCTTCAAAACCATCCACATGGGAAAATAGTGTTGGACAATGCCAAATCTAGCAAGCGACGATTTTTATATTTGAAGGATCACAACAACTTTTAAGCATGATTTATGTGATGTGTTAGGATTGTTAGTTTATAGAGAGTAGTGTAGTATGGTTGTTTCGGTAAATTTATGATGTTGCATGTTTGTTGGTTTATTATTTAAGTAGAGAAAACAGTAGGGTAATAACTCTCTTGTTATGTAGTAAGAATTTTAAAATGTTGTTTTTATAAGACATTATGCGGAAATTAGTAGGAAAAATATTTCGAGTTTTGATCTTTAACTAACTTTTTTATGAATCTACATTTTACGTAAATCATGTTGGTGTGCTCGCTTTATTTTTTCGGTGCAGTTTGCAGTCGCATTTTAACTGTCAGTGCTTATTTAATCGATTATTTTTACTTTCGATTTTGATCAATTGTAATCTTTTTTATTAATCTTTGTTGTGTGTAGTTTATCTTAATATCTTCATTTTCTTTTTTTACGATTACTTAGGTGTTCGTTTTTATCGTTTTTTGTTATTTTCGGTCATGTTTTTTATCCAGAAAAATTAAAATTAAAATATTTTCTTGTTGATTTCATTTTATTCTTTTAGTTTGTATCATTATACTAATTTTTTTTATATATATTTACTATTATTATTATTTATGTTTATTGTTTTGTCCAAAATATGAAGAAAAAAAATCAATTTTGGGACCACAAAGTTACAAATTTCACTTTTCATCTCATTCAATCCTCACCCTTCATTCTTTTTTTTAATCAAAATCCATATTTGTTCTTGCAACATCACATGGATTGCCACATAATTTCCTTCCAATTTCAAATTTCATTACACACTTATACCATATTTCTCATGTCATTCATTCTTTACACAAAAAAAAAAAATTCAAATTTCAAAATTAAATCTTCCCACACTTTTCATTCAAATTTTCTCATCATTCACACTATAAATAAGATTTCTCTTCTCTCATTTTGGACCACCAATAGTTCAATAAAACTAAGCCAAAAATCTCCTTTTTTCTCTTCATTTTCTTTCAAGTTATTTCTCCCTTTTATTAATAGGTATGCTTTTATGCTTGTTCTTTATTTAATTCTATTGCATTTCACTCTTGCTTTATTTATTTAGTACCATAATTATTACCATTTTACAAGGAAACTCCATTAATTCAAAATCAAGAGTAGAAAAGTGTTCTTGAACCTCCAAAAGCAAAAGTGATTTATTGTTGTTTAATTTTTTGTTTTTTTTTTCCTGTAATTTTTTGTTTTTTTATTTACTTATTTTGAGTATTGATATTTGTTCGTCAAATTGAGTAGATGAATTTTCATTATTCATTTGCTTAATTTCATGAAAAAAAATGAGAAAGTTATGACATTTTTACTATTTTTATTATAGACTTCATCTTATTCTTCTTTATCTATTTTATTTTTATTGGATCAATTTGGAAAGTGTGATCGGTGGATTTAGAACTGACTGTTTAACGCTGGTTCGCGAAATATCGCGGAAGCAAGAGTCGCCACCGTCTTTTATTTTCTCCAACATGGAAAGGACAAAAGCACAACAAAATTCCTTATGAGAATGTTTCTCGGTTTGGGAGGTAGATTTATAGAAAGGGAAGGTGTTAGCACCCTTTCTATCCATGGTTATCCATGAGCTCTTAGATACCTGCTCTTATGTTTTCAAAATGTTTTCTTTTCAAGATGTGAGTGGGTTTGAAAAAGTTTCTTTGAAAGATTTCTGAATAACCCTTGTATCTGTCCACAAGAGTGTTTGAAAAATTGTTTTGAAAGCTTTTTTTTTTTGAAAGTGTCAGTGTGAAAAGATTTTTGATTTGTTTTTTGAGAGAGCAAGTATCTATGAGTCATCTACCTACCCTAAGGAATTAGGCTGTGTAAATGTCCTTAAGGTAGTGCCATCCCACCATTGAGAGATAGGTAGCACCACCGTTGGAGGTGTTCGGGTCAATTCGATTATAGGGACAGTGTGGTCACCGAAGCAACAGTAGGACACCTTAGAAGCTACCCTTATGTCCTTGATCCTTTCTTAATCCAAGGAAACCGTTTCGAGGCAACTGTTTCGAGGCAACTGTTTCGGGGCAACTGTTTCGAGGCAACTGGATCATGGACATAAGGACCGCTAAAACGTCCTATACTTGACGACCACGTTTCGAAGGCAACAAGTGAGGCGTACCCTAGAAGTGGTGTGTGTATTTGTGTGTTGTTTTCAGTTTAACAGTTATCTTTGATCATGGCATTGTGAGCTACGCTTGTTTTTAATTACCATACATTCTTTCATGCAATTTAGAATTTAGAAGTGCGGGAAATTAAAAGACGGAAAGATAAAAGCTACGCTATTACAAGGCGCGTGTCTATACATCGCCAAAATACAAAGACCCGTTTTTGATAAAAGATACGGAAAGTAAAAGAGACCTAATTACTATTACATCCGGAAAGCAGTTACATAATGATCAATAAGAAAATAATGCGCGAAATAGAAATTAAAATTGAACGTCCGAGAGTTTTGACCCTTTGCTTGAAATTAAATTAAATTAAAGTCTAATTATTATTTAATTAAAAAAAGTGTTTTTTTATGTTTTTTGTATTTATTATGGAAATAAAGAAAAGAATTTGAAAGGAAACCCTAATTCTAAATTATTTTTAGTTATTAAAGAAAAAGGTCAAAATTAGGCTAATTAACTAAATTATTTAATTTACATGTTTATTTACAAAAATAATAGTAATTAATAATAATAAATAATGATGAAAATAATTAATTAAGAAAAGATAAAAATGTCAAAAAAACCTAATTCTATGTATTTTTTATTTATTAAGAAAAGATTGAAATTTAAAACCTAAATTAAACTAAATTAATTGTTAGTTATTTATTTACAAAAAATATGTTAATGGTGAAATTAAATATTAATTAAATATAAAATATTTTTTTGGTTTCTGATTTTTTATTATGAAAATTAATTTTATGGTGAAAAAATAATTAAAACAATTAAAAAGAATTAGAAAAGAAAAGAAAATAAAATTAAAAAGGATGCAAACCAAGGGGGGTGTCAGGCCCATATGGAGGTTAACTGAAGCAATTCTGGCCCAAGAGACAAGGCCTTTGTTTGACTTTCCAGATTGAGTGCACGTGGTTGACTGAGGTATACCCTGGATCTCATTCAGTGGCCCTTGGATTAATCATCATGAGCGCGTGGCAGTCTTAAGCGTGAGTGCATATGGTAGGGCATTTGATGGAAGCTGCACTAGAACACTTTAAGACAAAAATCAAGAATTATATGGGGGGACCTGGGAATCGAACCCAGGTCCCAACGCTTGCAGGACACGTCCTCCACCATCTGGCCATTTGCGTTTGTTTGTATACATAACAACAATGAAATATAATATATGAATAATGCTAATTATATTGAAACAAAGAAAAACGCGCTAATATTTAAATCTTCCAGTAGCGCTTGGACACCTCAGCTTTCTTCTTCGTTTTCACCTGCAATATGAATGAGATAGCGGGGGTTTTAAACCCCCACTAACCATAGCCACGAAAAATAGCGAATAGAAGAGGCGTTAATATAAATTGAGCGCGAGGTTGCCATTCAATTCGTATGGAGCTCCTGAATTCAACTGCATAGGTCTCAAGGTTTAATTTTACAGTGCAAGGAAAGCCCCAATTTGGAGCTTCAGAAACCCTAACGTTTGTTCATGGCAGATTTTGATGCAGGCAGTTTTAGCACAATTAAACGTTACCAAAAGCTTCAGGGAGATGTTAGTAGCATAAATCAATAATCAAAACACATGAATGATGCATAGAAATTAGAATTCGACTATGGAAATATTTGTGAAAAACATGACTCTGTTCTACCGTTTCTTTGAGTATGAGAGCCTGTTCTTGGTTGCAATAGCTTCCTGGTAACTCAGGCAACGTATTGGAATCCTTTTTTGGCTTTGAATTGTCCTGTAACTATGAAATCAGTTTCCAAGTTTTTATGAAAATTTTGCAAAGTGGTTATGAGCTTTCAGCAGCTTTTTCGTATATCTATCAGTAGGGTTTCCTTATGCATATGTATATGAAGCAAATTAGGTCAAGAATGAGCCCAAAAGTCCATGAATTAATGGCTTGAATATTTGATTGCCAATCATGTATTTTCCAATCTTTTTCCATGAAAACTTTGCCAATTATGGAAGATCTTGTCCCCTTGGATGATGCACGAAATCTTTAGCATATTTGGAGTATATTTGCTGCATAAAAAGATTTGAAAAAACATATCTTTGAATTTTCCCATAATTAAATCTAATTAAATGAATTATTATAAATATAAATTCAATTAATTAATCAAAAATAAGAAAATAAATTATTTTGAGCTCAATGGGTCGTGCATAGGCTTTGGGTAATGATTCAAGAAAGAATTTGAGGCCCATTAACACATTTGAAGTGTTTTAGGCAAAGTTGACTTTTGAAAGTTCCCAAAAATTTCCCAACTTCTCCAATGCATATCTTGCTCAATTTTGAAGCTATGAACACGTTCTTGGACATTTTGGAAAGTTCTTGAAGTCCTCTAACCAATGCCTTTGGTCCCATGTCATTTTGATTTACCAATCTCAAGTTATGGTCTTTGACTTAAAGTGCCTTTTTGTTGACTTTTGAAAATGACCTATAATGTTGAAATTGATAACTTTTTGTGAGAGCATTTCTTGGAATTGGAGTGTGAAGATGAGTTGTAGGAAATGTCATCCCCTTCAAAATGAGCATTGGATGGGATTTTTCTGATGAACCATGAGGAAGTTATGCCTTGGTCAATTTGCAGTTGACTTTTCAACTGTCCAAAAATAGAAACTTTTGCATCTTGAGACTTTTTTGAGCCATGCTTTTGGAATCATGATCAAGAATTGATCAAATGATGATTGTGGCTTCAAAATAAGATGTTGACCAAAAATTTTGACTTTTGACTGTCAAATGACCATTTTTCCCCTGTAGTTGACTGTGAAGCATTTAGGGTTTTTGACTGTGCAACTTGATACTGTGAGTCTTGAAACTTGACATATGGATGCTTGACAAT